CGCACCAGCAGTAGGTGCAGTCAGAATATAGCCTCTCCCTCATGGTTCCGAAGCTCAGTTAGTGAGTCAGAGCACAGGCTCAGAGATTCTCAGCCTGCGCTCTGACAACATTGAAAGTCAGAGTCGTGAAGGAGCGGGTATGGCAAAGAGCTACTGATTAGCATAACATCAATATCCGTTATAAAACCAGGAAAAGGTGGGCACCATTGCACTGATTTGGTGGTGCAATGGGCCACTTGACTGGTTTTGCCCCCCAGGCCCAAGGCTGCCAACCCTCCCCTGCTGCCACAGGACAAAGCTATTCTGGACCCCCTGGGCCAGACGCTCGTTGATCCACGAAACATCAGGCACCCCCGCTCCACAGACTGGACGCCTCGGAACACCTCGCAAAGTTTATGCACCTATGGATGAGCAAACCTATGGACAAGATAGTCCGCAACCGACTGAAGTCGGAATGCCCCCGCCCTTCCCTACCAGACCAAGTGGCCATGACACCGGAATTTGACCAGGTAATCAAGACCTTCATGAGCAGAGGTGGTCACAACCCCCGCCGCGGGGTGGAGAGAGGATTCAAAGGAGTCCAAGACAAACTTCTAGATACCTCCGGACCCCTCTCTCTCATAATGTACCTGGCAGATGATGCCTTCCAACGTGCAGACCAATTTAATGCCAACATGGTCAGGGAATGGGCTCACGATATCCGCGAATGGGCTCAACGCGGTTTTTGTTTCCTTGGAAACGCAAATGTGGCCCTCTCTTCGTAGAAGCATAAGGCAGCACTTCTCCGCATAGACGGGAAGTTGGTGGAGTTGGGCACCAAAGAACTCGGACCTCTGGCACAGGTCAAATTATTTGGAGACCCTTTTTTAAAGGAATTGAACCGACACGTCAACGTCTTTACCTCATTGAGTAAAGCTCAAACCTCAATGAGGAGGGTCTTCAGACAATACCCCCCTAGGGGTGTTTTTGGATGGGCTGGCCGCCACAGGGGCTGTGCTGCCAGCCATTTCTGGCCATCAGGCCCCCGATCCTCATGACTGCAACCCTTCTACACAGAAACGGGATACCGTCAACCTTTCCCCTACTCAAGAGGTTCGGACAGAGGACGCAGTACCCGTGGTCGTGGCAGATCCCGCTTCGCACCAGGTAAGCTATCATCTACCTTCGATCACCTTGCATGCAGGTCGTCTCTCCCTTTTCTTGCAGAACTGGACGACCATCTCGTCAGACGCTTGGATACTCCAGACGGTACGGGGATACATCATAGATTTCGTCAGCACACCTTATCAAGAGGTCCCACCGTGATCGCTCAACAGTTCGGCAGAGGACTCCAAACTCATCCAAGCCGAACTTCGGGAACTCCGCAACAAGGGTGTGATAGAACCCACCCCGGACTCAGGAGGATTCTTCAGCAACATCTTCTTAGTAAATAAGAAAACAGGAGACCTCCGACCAGTCATAAACCTCCGTTCTCTCAACGCCCACGTGGTCTACCGCCACTTCAAAATGGAGGGAATCCACCTCTAACGAGATCTCCTGCAAGACGGCGATTGGTTCACAAGATTGGACCTCAAAGACACCTACCTATCAGTACCGATTCACACCGACAGCAGACGTTTCCTCCGCTTGACGTGAAACGACCGACCATGGCAGTTCACTTGCCTCCCTTTCGGCCTCAGTTCGGCCCCACGGCGTTTCACCAAACTGCTGAAGCCGGTGATAACTCGCGCGCAAGAGGAATACGCTGCATTATATACCTGGACGACCTTCTAATCTTCTGCTCCGTCAAGTCACGACTCAGACTACACACGTTTTGCCATGGAACTCCTAGAATCCCTAGGGTTTACGATAAACCAACTGAAATCGGCTACAACGCCGTCTCAAACCATACAATTCCTTGGATTCTAAATCGACTCAGTCTCCAGCACGCTCCGCCTGCCAACAGCCAAGATCGCGGCTATTCGGAACGAAATCCGCAAGACGATCAGATGTCAATCGGTTCCCCTACGCAACCTAGCACGGATCGTGGGTCTCCTATCGGCATCCATCCAAGCCATCTTCCCGGGTCCACTCCACTAGAGGGCGATGCAACGCCTCAAGGCATCCTTCCTCCGCCGAAATCCCACCTACGACCAACCAGTACCGATTACGGCATAGGTCAAGGAGGAACTACAGTGGTGGCTGGACAGCATGCAGGCCTGGAATGGCAGAGCGATATTCGGCGAAACCCCAGATTTCGTACTGGAATCGGACACCAGCCTTTGGAGCTGGGGCGCCACGAGCGAGGGAGTATCGACAGGAGGAGCCTGGACTTCACAGGAACTCAACCTGCATATTAGCTGTCTCGAATTACTGGCGGGCTCCTTCGCCATACGCAGCCTGGCAAGGGATAAATCAGATTGTTGCATTCTCCTCAGGATGGACAACATCTCGGCCGTCTGATATATCAACCGCCTAGGCGGAGCTTGCTCACGACTCCTATCCGAACTCACGAAAGAGGTGTTCGACTTCTGCCTTCCACGCAACATCTCCATCAAGGTGGAATATCTCCTACGGGAGTCGAACCTCACAGCCGACTGGTTCTCTCGCCATTGGAGAGATGGCAGCGATTGGATGCTGGACCGAGAGACATTCGCAAATGAGAGGACCCTTCCATCTGGACCTCTTTGCATCCCGCAACAACAGACAAACACCAGACTTCTTCAGCTGGCTCCCAGATCCAGAATGCAAAGCAGTGGATGCTTTCCTACAGGCCTGGCCGCCCTTCGGCGCCTACGCATTTCCCCCATTTGCTATAATAGCGAGGACTCTCCACTATCTGAAGGTACACCAGATTTCTCTGCTTCTGATTACCCCCCTATGGCAGAGTCAACCGCGGTTCCGGGACCTTCTAGCACTGTCTTACGCAGACCCGCTCTTACTGCGGTCCCATCCGGCACGCCTTACGGATCCGAAGGGGAACCCTCACCCGCTAATACTGGAAGAGAGACTCTCCCTGGTGGCTTGGAGTCTTTCCGGGGCACCTGGCAAGTCAGCGAACTATCATAGACTGCTAGGGACCTCTTATGGGATTCATGGGCACCGGGGACGAGATTATGCTACCTCTCTGCTTGGACATCTTGGTCCGCTTGGTGCCTGGAATGGGACCTCAATCCTCTTACGGCACCTATTCCCACCATCCTGAATTTCCTGTCATCACTGTTCGCAACAGGAAAATCTTATAGAACTATTAACGTAGTTTGTTCAGCGATATCAGCAGCACATACACCTATCCAAGGGATTCCGGCAGGTAAGGATCCTATGGTATGTCGACTACTGTGGGGCATGCGACTAAAACGACCTCCGGCCCCCAAATACACCCACCTATGGGATGTGGACCTCGTCCTCACCTTCTTAAGAGAATGGCCGCCTAACGACAGACTCTCGCTTCGCCAACTTTCTGCAAAAATGACGATGTTACTTTCCTTAGTTTCCTTTCGTCGGGTATCCGACGTTAAGGCCTTCTAAGTCAACGCCTTTTCGATAGATCCTGAAGGGGTCACCTTCCATGTCTCCCGACGGACCAGATCGAACTCCACCGCCATTTTTTACCCCTTCTTCGTCACGGAACCCCAATTATGCGTGGTAGCAACCTTACGCAGCCAAGTGACGGCTACTGCCTCTCTTCGCCCGACTCCCTCTGGTCAGCCACTGATTTCCTACGTCAAACCCTACAATCCAGTTTCCTCTACCACTCTCGCTAGATGGGTACGCTGGATCTTGTCACTGGCGGGCGTGGATGCCACTTTCGGGGCTCATTCGGTGACAGGCGTGGCTGCTTCTTCGGCCTACGCAGCCGGAGCATCACTATCAGATGTTCTACGCACGGCCGACTGGTCACGTGAATCCACTTTTCGAACCTTCTACTTTAGACCGAACTCCTGCGCTGCGTTTTCTTTGTTAAATCAGCGTTAAAAATGCAAAATACGAAGCCTCCTGTCATGTAATAAAATTGAAGATTATGCTAGCTTTAGTGTACTAATAATCTTAATTTTAATAAAGACAGGAGGCGAGTATTTTCCCACCCATACTCACCCCTTCGGTCTTCTGGTATCTCTATACTGTTCCTTCTTCTAATTCCTCTATCCTTCTATAGGAAACTAGTTTCTACTCTACCCTCACCATTCCGACTATCCACCGTATATGGTGTATATCTCACATGTCAGGATTATTATACCTTGTTGTACTTTAGAGAGAGTGGTACCTATTACTAATGTATTGCCACTATAATACTATAGTCTTACATATATATGCTGTTCAGATGATTCCCATGTTTTTCATGGTCTTACGACTAGTACCTAACCTATTCCACATTCTTGTTTCAGCGTAACTCAACATGGAACTTTGGTTATATCTACGTGGATCATTCCAAGTTTATCCTAAATCGTTTGGATTGAATCTCCTGTTATAACGGATTACCCAAGTTTACCCTTCACTCCACATGGATTATACCGATTCGCTTGGATTGACTCTACGGTTACAGACCCAAGACTGGTTTCGTTTCTTAATTGTTTGAACTTTGTCCGTCTGCGATGTCGCTAGTAGAAAGAGGGGGAGGAGCCTATTCATTGGGAATACCATACCTCCTACTGTTTTTTGATTGGTTCTTACTATCCTTTTCTTACTGCTATGGAGTTTAGTAAAGAGAGTTATGCAAAATACTCGCCTCCTGTCTTTATTAACATTAAGATTATTAGTACACTAACGCTAGCATAATCTTCAATTAATCACCATCTTTATATATCGTGACATCCAAAAAAGATATTTCTTTCTCACTATATGCCAGGGTGAACTTGACTGGTAATGGCAGTTTATTGATATTAAGTACCATCTCTTCCAATTCACTTGATGAGCCCTTCCATAAAATAAACACGTCATCAACAAAGCGATAATATGCCAAGATATTATTGGGTACTTGATTGAGAATATATATATATATATATATATATATATACACACACACAGATGATTGAGTCATATACAAATACATATTATATATGTATATATAATATGTATTTATATTTGACTCAATCATCTGGGGTGGCAAGACATAGCCTTGCATATTACATGCGACAATATATGGTGCAATGACTTATGGGGCGTGCATAGATTTTTTTTCCAGGGCTGCTTTGTATCCCCAGTTCGGCCCTGATTGGGGAGATCATAGCGTTTAACATTTCAGAGGAAAAGCTTTTGGAAGTTGTTATATCTAGGAATGTTTTTAATAGTAGAGAAGTTATCACGGTCTCAAAAGATTTATAAAAGTACGCTGTTAATCCATCCGGCCCAGGTGCTTTCCCATTACTAAGCTCGGCAATTGTTCTCTGTATTTCTTCAGGTTCAATAGGTTTATTTAAGTTTACCAGTTTATCAAGATTTAGTATAGGAAGATTAAGCTTTGAAAGGAAAGCTTTTAGTTCATTCTGAGAAAAAAAAAACTATTTTCTTTTAAATTATATAATGAAGCATAATATTTTGCAAAGGCCTTACCTATGTTATGAGGGGATAGGCAAATTTTGTCACCATCAATAATTTTTTTTATTGTATACTTTATCTGGTCTGGTTTAAGTTTTTTTGACATAGACTTCCCTACTCTGTTGTTACTGCTATACCATCTTTGATTCAAAGATGTAATTGAGTTTTTAATTTTAGGTTAGCCATAAAGTTTCACTAGAAACTTGTCCATTATCATTAATTTTAACAAATTCTTTTGCCATATTTTCAAGATGTTTCCTGTTTTTTTTCGATTGTTATAATTGATTCATCTAAATGCCACTGTGGTTTGAGGTTATATTCTGGGTTATTTTCCAGTACTACACTAACAGACGCATGATCTGACCAAACAATGGGTCCAATTTCAGAGCTTACAAACTTTCTCAGATTTGTCGTATCCATTAAAAAAAACATCTATTCTAGAGTAACTTAGATGGACTTTAGATAGAAAAGTAAAATCTCTTTCATTTGGATGTTGTACCCTTCAAATATCAAGTAACCCAAATTCAGCACAAAGATCCTGGAACCAAGTGTAGTGCGTTTTATGAGGAAAGTTTAATTGTTTAAGATCCCTAGATCTTCTATCCATTTTTGGGTCCTGGATAGTATTCCAATCCCCACGATCAATAATACCCCTTTTTTAATTTTTCCAATCTTTCTAAAGAGTTTCTTATAGAATGTTTGTGAGAATACATTGGGGGCATATAAATTAGCCAAGGTATAAGTAGTATCGTTCAATTTACATACAAGGATTATAAACCTTCCTAATGGATCCTTTTCTATGTAAGCTTAGATGAACAAATAATGGCAACTTATCTTTTCTTTTTATCTACCATACTAGCATTCATAATAAATGAGAATCTAGAATAATTCCACAAGTATTTTTTTCCTTTCTTTCCAATGTGTTTCTTGAACAAAACACAAGTCAATCTTATCCTCTAACAACATTCTATAAAAAAGACCTCTTTTTACCGGAGAGTTCAAACCCTATGCATTTATAGATGCAACTTTAATTAACATTATTACTCTCAGTAAATAATGTCATTCCAAAAATTGGCTCCAAAATTTCTAAGTGGACTCGTCCATACCCATTCTCGATAGTTGACCTTAGACATACTACACAAAAAAACAATACAACTACAATATAATATAAAAAACAAACAATACACCACCATAGCGAGGTGATACATATCATACAGGTGATTACCCTGAGAGATCTAAGCATACATACAATCCCAAAGAGGAGAAAAAATAAAATAAAAAATAAAGATCTCAGGGAAATTCAATCGCTGGTGGCAATCTGTGGCCAGGTGATTACTTAATATTTAAATGAAGACTGCAGAAAGATAGGCCCCCACTCTTGTTTAGCCCTAAGTTTAACTAAGCTAATATGGGAGGAGGGGAACAATAAGATAAATAAATAATACAAAAATAAAAATAATCAAGCACAACCATTCGTTCTTAATATCATTAAAATAAACCTAAAAATACATATCTAATATCATAGGTTTATGTTAGAGAAGTATCGTAATGTAATACGTAGTAATAATCAACATGAATTAACTAAACACTACGTAGATATTACATTTAGAAATTATTAGGTAAATTACCAACATTGAAGTTTCGGATTTATCTATATTCACAAAACTCTCCAATATTTCTCCTTTGTTCCCCTCCATAAGTTTGTTACTCTTTCTAGTTGAATAAGATTATTTGTATCAATATTATTCCTAGATTTTTTAACTTAGAGAGTTCTTCAATAGGTTCTTTAATAGAAAGGCTCTTACCATTATGGGAAATTATCATTTTAGTAGGGAAGCCCCATCTGTAGCTTATATTTTTTGATCTCAGTTGTAAAGTTAGGTCTTTGAATCGTCTTCTATTTAGTCTTGTTGCCAGGGAGAGATCAGGGAAAACCGACAAATTTTGAAACGTCTCTTTGTTTAAATTTGGGTGGAATCTTAACTGTTTCATTAACTCATCTTTCACTCAAGAATTTAAAAACCTTACTATCACGTCTCTAGGGGTAGTATTTTCTGTTCCTCTGGATCTATAGATCCTATGGCATCTCTCTATTGGAAAGGGCGTTCAAAACAAAGGATTAACATATATAATCAATTAGGTTCTCTTGTTTAATTTCTTTGGATATGCCTTCAATTCTTATATTATTTCTATATGATCAATCCTCAAATTCTGTTAGTTTGTTATCCATTTCTTTGAATTGATTTTTAAGGGTAATATTTTGTGATTTCAATAATGTAATCTCTGTTCTCATTTTTTCAAATTCTTGATTTTGTTTGACCAATTTAGCATTAAGAGTGGAAATCTCTTTACCTCAGAAATAATTTGATTAATATCATTTTTGATTTTCCCATAAAGTTCATCCATCATTTTGATATGACTTTGGTTTGATATTGTTTCTATAGGTGAGTTGGAGCCTTCTAAGGTTGTAGCTTTTAAACTTAACTCTTTCAAAGGAGGACGAGATATATATCTCCTTTGAGATTGTGATTTATTGGGGTCTGCTTTTGGAGAATAAAATGTATTAATAGGCTTGTTCTTTTCTGCCTTATCTACTGGAGTGGGTTTTTTTAGGCATATTAGCGTTGATACAGAGCAAACGGTAGGGGAAATCAAACATACTGTAATTAGAAATAAAGAGGGTATTGCACCTTTTCTAGAGTCTTCTAAAGTAATTATCTCACAATTCTTAAAAGGTGTCCTTTTATATAGAGCATTAAATAGATTAATAAATTATACCAGTGAAAATAAAGTATTTTTTTGTTTTCTCCAGTGTTTCTTTTTGGATAATGTCCATTGCAAGTAATAGGATACATAAGGCTGTATTAGGCATTCAGGTTTGCTAAATGTATGTATTTCATATTTTGAATAAAACACTTTTACAGTGATCTGCACCTGCCTGTTGGGCACCCTACAAGGAGGAGTCCTACTGGCCCACCAGAGAGCTGCATCCCAGGCCCCACTGGGCCACCAGGCAGCAGGGCTATGATCACAGCCCTACTGGATGACCACAATCAGAGCCCCACTGGATTATCAGGAAACAGTGCGTAGAGCCATGATGACAGCACCTGTTGATTTTATCCCCGAGGTCAAAGGAGCAAACAAATGCATATTATTATTATTATTATAATTATTGTTATTTTTCAATCCTAATATGTGGGGAGGCTTGAACAACAAACATATCACATATCACTCACAGTTACTCACACACAGCAACACACACCACTCACAGCTACCCACACACATCACTTACAGCTGCCCACACATAACAAAGAGCTAGTGAAAAGCGGCCGTACACATCACTCACAGCTGAAACACACACATATAACACACAGACTGCCACATACATAAAAAACAACACTATGTATGGATATTTAAAGGAACACGCCAAGCACCATAACCACTACATTCCACTGTAGAGGTTATGGTGCCAAGAGTGATCTAGCATGCTCCCACTGTAATTTGTCAAACTGTTTTAAAATTATTTGACAATTTACCAGGATCCATTTAACATCTGTGCTGCATTTGGTATTTTTCTGCAGAAAGAACTGGATGTCTTCATCGAGGTAAGGCACAATCTATACATGTGACAATGAATGCAACACTGCATTACCTTGCTTACGTCAGTGATTTCAACCACCTGTTCCTACGATGTGAATCCAAAATAAAGGGATGCAGGTGCAGGCACCTGTAGCACCCAACTAAGGGCTTTATTTAAAAAGCTTTCTAAATGATTCAGTACTATAACCACTACAGCCAACTGAGGTGGTTACGGTTCCAGGACAGCTGTCCTACCAATGTTATTTGTCAAACTTAGACCTTGATTTAATAGTGTTAGAAAACTTTCTAAATGATTTATATACAGAAGTCACTATTGAAGTTATTTGGAAAGTTTTTCTAACAGTGTTGAATCATGTGGAAAGCTTATTAAATCAAGATAAGTTTGACAAATATCATTGGGAGGTCTAGCACCATAACCACTTTGGTGGGATGTAGTGGGTATGGTACTTGGGGTGTTAATTTAATAAATATCCACCTTATATCAAATTAAAAAAAATATAGAAAAAGAACTCCAAGGTGCCTACCCTACTGAAATGATCACAGTATAAACTAATATGACACAAATAGTTTATTTTGATTTACCAATAGTTGATTATAAGAATGTTTTCAGATTCTTAATCAATATGTTGTGCAGTGTAAGGTAGCTGTAGAATTAATATTGAGCCATTCACTGGTTTGTTAGAATGTTAATATTGTCCGAATGCTGTAAAAAATAAATAAAAAGAATAGCATCAATGAAACAATACATTTGCCAGTGATACATTTCAGTATATCAATTTATTAAAAGGACGTGGTAGGCACAGTAAATGCTTCATCTCATTAAAGCAGTTATATTACTTGTAGTCCCCTGGCTCAATCTTCCCATTTCATGTCAAATCATATGTAATGGCTGTAATATTTAAAAGAACACTATAGCTTTATGAATGCAAATCTGTATTTCTAATGCAATAGTGTCTCTGTCCTTAGTCAGAAATAGGTGCCCAGCTGTTTTCAATCTAAAAATAAAATAAAAATGTAGTTACCTTTTTCCAGCATTGTAGGTCCCTTGGAGCGGTCATCACAGACAGGGCTGTATTTGCCGCGAGGCAAACAAGGCATTTGCCTAATGCGGCACTTTCAGGGGGATGGCAAAAAAAACTGCCCTAAGCGCCCAGACAAATGCCTTCTTTGCCTCGTGTTGTGGGGGACCCAAAAGGTGGCCAGCTGGCTACCTTAGGGACCCCCCCCCCAAGGCATTCAGCTACTCATAGTGCATGTGGGAGGCAAGGGAGCGCAGTCCGCGCACCCTTCTATGATGCAGAGAGCTGGAATATGACGACACTCCGGCCCAGGCAGTGGCGAGAGAGCAGGGAAGGAAGAGCTCAGTTTCTTCACTGCCTCCATTGAGCGTCTGCCTGTCCACCCAGCCAGTCATGCCAGCAGAAGCCAGCAGCCCCAGCAGAGCCAGCGAGGAGCCTACCAGCACAGCCAACAGCCCCAATGGAGCCAGTAAGGAGCCTGCCCAGCAGCAGTCAGGGACAGGATCCACTCTAGCTCTCCCAAAGGAAGGGAGGCTGGGTGGATTTAAGTTTAAAAAAAAAAAAAAAAATTGGTGTGTATGAGAACATTTGTGTGTGTGTGTGTGTGTGGCTGTCAGTGAGTGTGTGTGTCAGTGAGTGAGTGTGCATGTGTGTGTGGCTGTCAGTGAGTGTGTGTGCGCGGGTGGCTGTCAATGAGTGTGTGTGTCAGTCAGTGAGCATGTGTGTTGCTGTCAGTGAGTGTGTGTTTGTTGCTGTCTGTCAGAGTGTGTGTGTGTGTGTATGAGTGTGCCTGTCAATACATGTGTGTGAGAGTGTGTGTCTTTCAGAGAGTGTGTGTGTCTGCCAGTGTGTGTGTGTCTGTCAGAGAGTGTCTGTCTGTCAGAGAGTGTCTGTCTGTCAGAGAGTGTGTTTGTGTGTCTGTCAGTGTGTGTGTCTGTCAGTCAGTGTGTGTGTGTGTAGCTGTCAGAGAGTGCGTCTGTGTCTGTCAGTGAGTGTCTGTCAGAGAGTGTGTGTGTTTGTCAGTGTGTGTGTGTATGTGTCTGTAAGTGTGTGTGTGTCTGTCAGTGAGTGTGTATGTTTGTCAGTGTGTGTGTAGCTGTCAGTGCATGTCTGTGAGTGAGAGAATGTGTGTGTCTGACAGTGTGTGTCAAATCAGTAAGGATGTTTGCGTCAGTGTGGGTCTGTCAGTGAGTATATGTCAAAATACACCATTGAACACAGAGAAAGCATGGCCCTCCTTCTCATATGGGGACATTGGAGACATAAAGTGAATGTGCTGTGTGAGATAAACGTGCAATCAAACTTACCCATAGGAATACATTGAATCATTGTGACTGAGTTTTACGCAGACTTAACTTTGCAATGTAAACTTTTCAGTTTCTAAGAATCTGCAATGTTTTACATTACACGGTTAAAAGGACAGGGACAGTGCACCTAGACCACTTCATTGAGATTAAGTTATCTGGGTGATGATAGTGTCCCCTAATGCTAAACCAGAGTCTTTGTGCTGCTCAGTCTAAAGAGGAAGCAATATCCTAAACAGTCATGGAACAATAATGTCAGCTTATTCTCTCAAGCTCTCACACCTGCCTGTTGCTGAATGAATTGGTATGGCTAAGAAAGTGTGTACTATCAATGGGGGGCTGGGCTCTGGATCCTCATTAAGAGGATAAAATGGTTAAAGTGCCTAGCGTGTCTTTGTAAAGGGTGCCTGGAGTCTCCTGTGACTGTTCCTGGATTTAGTGTTAAACCATTTTCTAGCAGCTGTACACTTAAAAAGGGCGCTATAGCACTTTATTCTAGCCATACCAATTCATACTAGAAATGAACCCTTTGATAAGCGGTTAGTGGACAATCACAGTTGCTCACTGCATGTTCAGGCTTATGTGTCCTCAGTAGTTTAAGCTGAGCACTCTTGTTTATGATTAAAACTTTAAAATGGTTTCAAAAGTTTAATGGGAGGATGGAGCCAGAGAATTCCTGACACTATAACCACTTCAATAAGATCAAGCAGTCACAGTCTCTACAGTTTGCCTTAACGAACAACAATAGTTTATGAAACAATAACCATCTTTTAACATGAAAGAGAGAAAAGCTCACTTTCTCAAAGTAGTCCTTCACCCAGAGGAATGTGGGGTAGAGAGTGAAAGACGATAGCTACAAATAGTGGCTCTCTCCCATCATTCTCAGTCACGCCAGGGCAAGTATTTTAATTTGCTGCTTAGACTAACAGATCCCACAAAGCACAGTGCCACATCCATCACACTGTACAATATGTTTTGGTTTTTTATTGTAGAGTGATTTTACACCAGTTTAAAAACATGCTCCATGTATGCAAAGGGTCTTTCATGAGAAATAACTCTCCTCAAGCATTGCCATATTTTGTTATGTTACATCCTGGAACTAAAAAGTACAATTTAATTTACAAAATATACATTTGAAATATACGTTTATAATTTCATTATAGAGGAAAATTACAACGTTTTTATACAGGAGAAGCCTGGAAATTTGCAAGCCAACCAGCCACAGTGTACTGAAGGTTCTTCATATCGACAGAAGCATTTAAAAGTATTTTCTATTTGAAGAGTTTTTACCCTCCAGCTAGTGGGCTATGTGGTTTGGATTCAATTTGTTTTTTTTAAACAAACTTATACAAATTGCAATATATTTGTGCTTTTATTCATGTTTTCTATTGGTCTTAATGTTTTTAAATGCATACTAACTTGGCTATCAGAAGTAATTATTAGTAGTGATGTCCCAAACTGTCCGCCGAACGGTTTGCGAACGTTCGTGAACGGTTCGCCATGGACTCATCATTGAGTAAACTTTGACCCTGTACCTCACAGTCAGCAGACACATTCCAGCCAATCAGCAGCAGACCCTCCCTCCCAGTCTGCTGCTGATTGGCTGGAATGTGTCTGCTGACTGTGAGGTACAGGGTCAAAGTTTACTCAATGATGAGTCCGCAGCGAACTGTTCTCGGCGAACCATTCATGGCGAACAGTTCGGGACATCACTAATTATTAGTAGTTGATATATATATCCTAGAACTCTACAACAACAACAGCCAATAACCAAATATTAGTAATAAACTCCACCATATCAAATCACAAGGGTGTGTTTATTTAAGAAAATCACAAAGAATAGGTTATGGTGGGTTAACACAACCACTGCAAGGTGTTAAATCATATCCACATATGACATCACATCCATATGAGATAACAATAGCATCTAAGGTGGGAAATAAATGGGGTTTTTAAGTAGTATTGGTTAATAGATAACTTTTAAACTGTTGTGAAATATTTATTTTAATGGAACACTAGAGCCTGACCCAATAATTTTAAAAACATGCTGGCCCCCACTTGCCACCTTAAAAAGGTCATAAACTTGCCTTTATTCCAGCACCACACAGGTCGACAGGTGCTGGTTCCGCCCTGGTCCACCTCCTTGGCTGAGATAATCAGAATTAACAATCTCAGCCAATAGAATGCTTTCCTATGGCAATGCACTGGATTGGCTGATATTTTCAATTCTAATGATCTCAGCCAAAGAGATGGGGTGGGAGTATTGCAAATGCTGCACTGGCCAATCAGCATTTCCTCATAGAAATGTATTGAACCAATGCATCTCTAAGAGGTAAGTTCAGTGACTCCATACAGAGTGTGGAGACACTAAACATCAGTGCTACACATTGTGCAGCACTGACCCAAAAAGCAACTTTAGTGGCTGTCTGAGTGACTGCCATTAGAGGTGTTACTAGGCAGTTATATATAAATGAAAATGCCTGCAGGGACAGACTATACCTACCAGAACAACTACATTAAGCTGTTGTTCTGGTGACTATAGTGTCCCTTTAAGAATTTTTTTGGGTGTATAGGAATAAATAGTTTTTAGGACAATTAGCTACTGAGATAATATTTATTATAAAATACCCCCATCAATTGAAATTTAAAAATAATAAGATTAGGTGATTAATCCCTAGCTTTTTAGAGTGTTATTTTGTGATGAATTGTATGAGGATCAATGCAGGTTTTAACTATATTAATGTGGAGAATATTTATGCATCCATTTTTGCAAGTGGATAAAATGCAATATGTGAATCATTAAAGTAAATAGTATTATGAGCAGGACGTTTAATGTAGGTAAAAGGACAATTAATGTGCGGAAAAACAGGATGTTTAATATAGATAATTTCACAGAGTATTAAGAACAGCGGACACTTGAATGACAGTAATTATCCCGAGCATGCGTAATCTATTTAAACTGAAAAGAAGGAGGTATTGATGAACACTTTGATAAAGCCCAATAGGCATGTTATCACATAACACATCATCATGCATGAATATCCATCTAATCTCTGAAACCTGAACTAGGTCTGGGCAGGTAGAGTGAGCCAAAAGGTTGGGAGCGGAGAGTTTGTTGTGTATTTAAAGGCTGAGGATCTTTGAGCCTAGGTGCTTTAAAACCCCTTAAGGACACATGACGGAAATATTCCGTCATGATTCCATTTTATTTCAGAAGTTGTGTTGTGTAAGGGGTTAAGTGGGTTTAAAACAAGTAACGGTTCCACCAACTGTAGTGTAAGCCTATTTAATCTTTGTTTTCAAATGCATGTTAATAAAGGGAATTATTATTTTTATTTTTTTGACACATCGTATTGAGGACCATAAAGTCTTCAGCAATTTAAGGTCACTGCAAGTTAAGTTTGATATTATGCATATTTTATCTCTACACATTAAAATGGAAAAGGTGCATGTGTAGGTGATATATTCACATATTCAACTTATATCTGTTGTTTGCACGTGTGTGGCATAATTGACAAACCCAGCTTTGTTTTTTGTGAATAGTATAGATAATATAAAAGATTATATAAAGTGAAGATATTAGTTAACACCTTGCATTAGTTGTGTTAACCCACCATCACCTCTTGGTTGTGGATATATGCTCAGAATGCTTGTCAGATAATTTAGTTATATTGCCATATTTACTGACACACTTCCATATAAATGTGAAGAAATACATACCTATTTCCTTTGTGCAAAAGATCAAATCCTTCATTGATTTTCTCTAAAGGTAGTCTGTGTGTCACCAGCTTATCCAGGTCAAATTTTTTTTCCATATAATCCGTAACCAATTTTGGGACAGAGTCCTTAGATTTCCAACCTAAACACCATATTTACAAGGTTAATAACAAGACAGATATAATCAAATTACATCAATCATTCATTCCTTAGGTAATTTCAAGTCTTGTGCCATTTGAATGCATTTACCCTCTGCATCATTCCACTCATTTCTTCAAATGATAGCCTGCCTTAAACTGTTGTTTTCTAACAGAGAACCTAACAAACCTCACTGAGTGTTCCTACATAGAAACTTTTATTAAACTTGAGTATTGTGTGAATGTGTTATTATAACTATAATAAGGGGAAAACACATGAATTACCAACTCTAGTATTCACAAGAATGCACTCATTCGTTCAACTCATAGAAGTTGGTGTCATAATGTATTAGGATGTCTTCCTACAGAAAGTTTAGTGGTTGCAACTTAATATTTGGCACACATCCATTAGGCTTGTCAGTATGAAAAAAAGATTAAAGAAACCACTGTGGTAGTGTCAAGGTTAGGTTCCCCAACACGCTAACTATAGGACTAACAGACAACCCAAGCTAGACGGATTACTGGTCCTTAAAGTGGCCGGACTTAACGTGAAGAAAAGTAAGGAGAGAAGCAGAATAATACTACGAGCCAAGGTCAGGGCAGGAGAAGGAAGAATAAACGAGAAACAAAGCCAAGGGTGAAGGAAGCCAGAAATTACGGATAACCTGAGACAAGCCGAAGTCAGATACCAGGAAACACACAAGTATACAGAACGCACTCTCGGGCTACAATAGACCACGACAGGGCAAGGAAGTGATGAAGGAGGGAGGTATAAATAGGGCTAAGAGAGATCTGATAGGCTAGGGAAGACAATAGGAGATATTATAAAAGGGTTACCAGGATTCATGCAATAATGGTAGTATCGCTTTAAGATTTCAGCGGCATGCCGCACGTGCATGCGCATGTCCCTGGTCGCGCACGCGTGGGCTGTCAGTTGGAAGCCGGAAGAGCTTGGAGGAGCAGCGCGGACGGCGGGAGCAGTGTGGGCCGCAAGGAGGTATGACAGGGAGTCCACAGAAGTGGCCAAAATAGTAAAATAACTAAACGTTTTTTAATTTAAAAAAAAAAACATAGTGAGGAAAATAGACAGATCTATAAGAATAGGCAGAAAGCAAGTTACAAGAGCTTTCAAATCACACACAGAAGAGAAAATAGCCTAGTCAGTAAAAGAGGGGGACAAAACATTTTTAGATACATAAATGAGAAAACGAAAGTAAAACAAGGGTAAGTTAGATTAAAAACAAATTAGTAATTTGTTACATGTGAGTTTACAGAGGAAGAAGTTCTATTTCAACTGTCAAAAGTAAACACAAATAAGTCGATGGAGCCCAATGGAACACACCCAAAGTTATTAAAAGAGCCCAGTGGCGTACTAGGAAAACCATTAACGGATTTATTAATCCAATCATTGTTAACAAGAGTAGTCCCAAAATATTGAAAATTAGTGACTGTTATGGCTATTCACAAGAAAGGTAGTAGGGAGGAGTCGGGTAACTATACGACAGTTAACCTTACTTCAGTAGTGGGGAAAGCAATGGAAACCATGTTAAAGGATAGGATTGTTGAACATTTACTACAGGGACGTCATGCCAAAGTAAACGTATTGATTTTTTTTTAGAAGGCTTATCAATAAACTGCAATCTATAAGTTTGGATTTCAATATTATTAAATGGGTTAGGCAGTGGCTGAGTGACAGGCAACAGAGGGATGTAGTCAATGGAGTATATTCAAAGCAAGGTCTAGTTACTAGTGGGGTACCTCAGGGATCTATACTTGGACCCATTCGCTTTAATATTTCTATTAGTGATATTGCAGAAGGTCTTGACATTAAGGTATATCTTTTTGCTGATGATACATAGATATGTAACAGGGTTGATGTTCCAGCAGGGATAAGCTAAATGGCAAATTATAAAAATAAACTAGAAAAATGGTCAAAGCTGTGACAACTAACATTTAATGTGGATAAATACATAAAAGATAATACATCCTGGACATAAAATCCCAAGGGCAGAGTATAGAATATTTGATAGAGTCCTAATCTCAACATCTAAAGGAAAGGAAGTGAGGGGTAATTATTTCAGATGATTTAGGCTGACAGTGTAATAGAGCAGCTGAAATACTAGCAGAATGCTTGCTTGCATAGGGAGAGGCATTAGCAGTATACAGAGAGAAATGTTCATGCCATTGTACAGAACACTGGTGAGACCTCACTTGGAGTATTGTATGCAGTACTGGAGACCGTATCTTCAGAAGGATATTGATACTCTAGAGAGAGTTCAGAGAAGGGCTACTAAACTGGTTAATTGATTACAGGATAAAACTTACCAGAAAAGGTTAAAGAATCTTGACATGTATAGCTTGGAGGAAAGATGAGACAGGGGGGTATGATAGAAACATTTAAATACATAAAGAGAATCAACACAGTAAAGGAGGAGACTATATTTAAAAGAAGAAAAAACAGCACAACAAGAGGACATTAGAGGGGCAACGGTTTAAAAATAATATCAGGAAGTATTACTTTACCGAGAGGGTTGTGGATGCATGGAATAGCCTTCCAGCTGAAGTGGTAGGGTTTAACACAGTGAAGAAGTTTAACCCCTTAAGGACCAACCTTCTGGAATAAAATGGAACCATGACATGTCACACATGTCATGTGTCCTTAATGGGTTAAGCATAAGGCTATCGCTTATGCTTAACCCAAGCATGCTTAACCCATGCATGCGCGTTCAGTCGAAGAGGAGGAGAAGAGGGAGGAGAGCTACCCGCCCGGCGCTGGAGAAAGAGGTAAGTTTAACCCCTTCCTCCCTCAGGGCACAATACTGACAGGAAAATGAGTATGTTTTCCTGGCAGTATAGTGGTCCTTTAATTAACATACTAAGGAGAAACAAGGATAAAGACATATATTATATAAAAAAAAAAAAAACGGTCCCGTTCCCCAGCGGTAGTGTGTTCCAGGGACAGGAGATAACTGGTCTCTCTCCCCAGCGGCAACCAGTGTTACCGGGAGAGGAGATTGTCTGTCCCTCATCCCAGCAGAAGCAAGACAGCGTTACCAGGAGTCGAGACAGTCGTTCTGACTCCCCAGCGGAAGTATGGGTTAAAGGGAGAAGAGACAACTGGTCTCTCTCCCCAGCGGCAGCTAGTGTTACCAGGAAAGGAGATTATTGGTCCCTCATCCGCCGCAGCAAGCATACCTGGGTGTGGAGATAGTCGGTCTCACTACCTAGCACTAGGCAGTGTCACAGGGAGAGGAGATTGTCGGTCCCTCATCCCAGCAGTAGCAAGCACCCAGCAGCAGCAGCAAGTGTGAAGATTGTGTTTTGCTTGGGTTGAGTTTCCTGTAACTTGCTGGCTTATAAATTAATAGTTAAAGGGACACCGTTAGTCGACTGATCACTACTCATCACCAGGCAGCGTTATCGAGAGTCAAGACAGTTGGTTTGACTCCCCAGAGGCAGCTTACTTTACAAGGAGGGGACACAACCGGTCCCTCTCCCCAGTGGCAGTGTGCCGTACAGGGAGAGGAGCATATTGTCTGCTCTCCCTAACGGCAGGGCAAGTTACTGGGAGTGGAGAAAGTCGGTCTCACTCCCCAGCGCAGTGTGTGCTTTACAGGGAGCATATCACCCTCTCTCCCCAGCGGCAGCTAGAGACACCTTGGGAGGAGACAGTTGGTCCCCCTCCCCAACCACAGGGAACGATACAGGGAGTGGAGTTGGTCGGTCCTACCCATCAGAAGCTGGGGCTGTTGTCCAGAGACATGCCCCCTGGCATCTTCCCAGCAGAAGAGCTGGCATCAGGGGAGAGAGCAGCCAGCCTCTGCCCTACCTTCCTGTAGCGGATCTACAATGTTAAATCCCAATATCTCCGCTGGTACAGAAAGTGATTCAAGTAAAGCGCTGGAAATGAAGGCACTATCCCAAATCCCCCAGTAACCGGACGAAACACAGTTTTGGTAGTCAACTGACAATTTTATTCATAGCTCCAGTATTTATGTGATTCCCCATTCAAGGGGTTTCCTTAGTCACTTTACAGGGGTTGTACAGTAGAGGATTACATGGGGAACTGAAAATACAGGGCATTTCTCCCACCATGCACTGCTGTACGAGAGGGATACTCCCACTAGAATATCTGGTTAAGTGGATTATCCCTCCGTACAGCAGAATGGACTTTTTACACAGAATTGCATAACTTCAATATTATATATATGATTACACCGAATGACCGTTCAGTAGATAGCTGGGGTCTGAGCGCACACTTTGTGAAAGTACTGCTCAGATCCCAGCATAAATAACCGAACGCCGCACGAAACACACATTATATTCCATTCACCTTAAAAGTACCGAACACATATGGGGGAATAAAGTACCGAAGGACCTGTGCTCCCGAACGGCCTGGACGTCCAGCGGTGTTTGCGCCGTCGAGTAGCCGATTTTAGTTCCAGGCGCTCGATGACCAAACACCGCTGGGATAACAAAGGATCAAAGATGGCCGACTGCCACGTGGTCGGTAGCCGAACGACGGCCACCTAAGAAAGCATTTACCCGCCGATTGCTACAATGTTGCAATCGGTTAATGGGAGCCACACTACCCTCTGTGTGTGGGCTCCCATTCTGTACTTTATTCGTTTCACGAACAGTGTATAAAGTCACTGTTCGTGAAACTACCATATGAATGCTAACAGCTTTCGGCTGTTAGCATATGACTGTTCTCTATTGTAAAATTACACGAATACATTCCTACACAGAATTAACACAGCTTTTTACAGACAACCTGCAGATGTTAGGCAGTATGACCTAAAGTGGCTAGGTTTGCCACACTTCCCCCTTATTACAGGGAAGGACTATGTACCAGTCCCCCCAGCAGAAGCGCTGGCACCGGGCCAAAGCGCAGTTGGCCTCTGCCCACCAAGTACCTACAACTCCATGCCTGGGTGCACAAGGGATACCAGGAGTACCAGATGCCCACTTGATCGCTGGGCACATACAGGACAGAGGTGGGCTACAGAAGTCACAAGGTTCAGTATTTGCTTATGGGTGGGCTACTACCCCAGGTAGTGATCGACAGGTGGTCAGGTACCTAGTTAGTCTCCCCTTGGGAGGGAAGATGTGTGACAAACTCCCCTTTTCCTTTGAGTTTGCCACAAATTTTTGGAGGAGCCTGTTTGCTAGCCTCCTACCCTGTGACTATGGCCTCTGCAATGGACCTGGCTAAAATACTTTAAAAAGACTCTGTTCATGGGAAGTATGTACTTATGTACTCCAGACAGAGACACCGACCGTTAGCACTAATTCTCTGGAACTGTTTTGGGCATGGGACCATGTGCACTGTCAGTCAAAAATAAGACTTCCAGGAATTTCCTGAACCCCTGCTCGGATCTGGTTGATACCTTGCTTGGGGACTTGCATAAAAGGCCAGCTGTGGCTTCCATTAAACACACTTGCTTTACCCTTCATGTGGTCTAGGCTCATATTTGGGGGATTGGAGAACTACATTCACTCTGGGGATTGCTATAATCACTATACTCCCCTGAGTATAATTACTAAGCTCTTTTAAGAGCTGTTCCTGCTACACTCTCTGGACTAGGAGAGGTCTACTTACTGGAGGCTGGATCCTGGTCTTGGGTCCAGGGTGGGTGGAGAACGGAAAGACCCCAACCAAGCTGCGGCGGTTCGCGGGTTTATGGTGTTCCAGTGCAGTACTAGGAAGCAGCGATTGATGGAGGTACCCGGTCGGGGTGCCAGGCAGTCCGTCACAATAAATTGAATACATAACAGTTAATACATATATTCAACCAGGACAGGTGCATTCTGTGCTGAGGTATATTGCCATAGATCTCTTAAAATATTTTAGATTGAATGAAGATTTAAATGGTGTCCCTGAGGTTATTCCATAATTGCGGAGCTCTGTAGAAAAAGGAGAATTGAGCCACTTTTTTTGTATTGCAGTATGCTAAATATCGTGCTTGTACTGGATCGGAGGTTATAGGAGGAGGGAACAACTGGGGAGAGCATTTTACTCAGGTTGGGTGGGAGCTTCCCAGAAATGCTCTTATGCACAAGGCTGGAAAGATGAAGAGAGCTTTGGGATTCCAGCGACAGCCAGTTTAGCTCTTTTAACATGTCACAGTGGTGGCTAAAATAATGACATTCTAGTACAAAGCGGCAGAACGAATTATATATGTATTATGTTTATTAAGGTGGGTTTGTGGTGCGAGTGCATACACTACATCCCCATAATCAATTACCGGCACTGTCTGTTTTCTTACTGTAGGGCTTAGGCAGGATTTGTTTCTGTACAGGGCACCTAGTTTTGGGTAAAGTTTTGAAGATATTTTTTTAATGTGAAGGCCAAAGGATAGATTGGGTTCTAGCAACATACCTAGATTATTAAAAGAGCAGACTGCTGTCAGTGTGCCATTTGAATTTGTTCTGATACACAGTCGTTGATTTTGCAGTTTACAAAATTTAGGTACAGTTCCAAAGATCATTGTAACAGTTTTGTCAGTGTTTAGGAAGAGTTTGTTATCTGCTATCCCCTTTCCTACCTCTGTGAATTGATTTTGGAGCACAGCCTCAAGCTGCGGTAGCTTGGGTTTACTAGCGTAGATTACAGTGTCGTCTTCATACATGTGTACAGTTGAGGATTTGCAGACGTTAGGCAGGTCATTTATGAATAATGTGAATAGCAGAGTATGGAGCCTTGGGGAACACCACACGTGACTGGAAGAGGGAGGGAAGCGCTATCAGAAATGGCCACGCATTGCAATCGGTCTGAACCTTACGATCGAAACCAGGTTAGCAGATGATCACCATTGCCTGAATTTATTAGTTTTTACAAAAGAATGCCATGGTCTACTGTATCAAAGGCCTTGGCAAAATCAACGAAAATAGCTCCAGTTAACTCTCCTTGTTCCATGATAATTTGGATGTCATTGCAAACTTTAAAGAGGGCAGTCGAAGTTGAGTGATTTGGATGAAATCCTGATTGATCAGGGGTAAGATAATTTGATAGTTGCTAATATTCACATAGTTGCATGTGGATGCATTTTTCCAAGATTTTTAACAATACAGGGAGTGATGATATCGGACGACAGTTAGATACCAAAGTATTGTCACCACTAGGTACAACTTTTGCAGTCTTCCAAAGTTTGGGTATGTATCCTGACATCAGGGATTCATTGATAAGGGTAGTGACAAGTTTAGCAATTTGCTGGCACACTGAGCTTTGAGGAATTTGATCTGGTCCACACTCTTTTTTCATGTTTAAATTATTAAGATGTTTATTAATGACACTAACAGGCACAGGTCTAAAATTGAATTTCTCTATATGAGCATTTTGAAGATTTGGCAGGGCCTGATCTTTATTTGCGGTCTGAAAATTAGTGTCATTTGTTATCTCAGCAACCAGGGTGGTAGCACATCCAACAAAATAATTATTAAAGTCATTTGCTACATCTAGGGGGAGTTGCAGTGTTTGGTTGTCCATTTTGACAGTGGAGGGTTGGGAGTGGATTGTGAGGGTTTGTATGCTATTTATGATTTTCCAGAGGTTTCTTAGGTTTGATAGGTTATCCAAATTTTCACTGAAAAATTGGGCCTTTGCCATTTTTATTTGTTTTGTGCATGCATTTCGTCATTGTCTGTAAGTACATCGATCGTTCATGGAGCCAGTATGCTTGAACTTTTACCACAGTGGACCTCTAAACGGGTACATTTGAATGAGGTCAGCTGTAACCTAGGGCAGGTGTGTCCCTTTTTAGTCGCACTTTACGCAGAGGGACATGCAAATTCCAAACACGCAAGAGCGCGGACTGAAAAAATGCAATTGCAGCGTCTAGGTCTGGTATTGCACCTAATCTGTGCCATGGTATGTTCTTGAGATCACTTAAAATAGGATTCAAGATTAATATTTATTTTTACAACCTTCTGTTGTAAGAAGCAAAATATGTATATTTGCTTTTCAAAAAAAAGAAAAAAATGTCTTGCGAAAAAACCTCAGCCTTTTATTTAAGGCTTAAGGAAGAGTGTGGAGCCACTGTATAGAAAAAAAAATATTAAAATAAATCCACACGTGATATATATATATATATATATATACACACACATATACATATATATATATATATATATATATATATATATATACACACACACACACACGTATGTACTATCTTGAGCAATTTTAATACATAAACAAATATATTTGTCTACTTTTTGCTATTAATCTCATTTATAGAGGAGAGGAAAGTTGATACATGCATAATAACAATATTAAATTGTCTCTCTTTTTCTTTACTATTGGTATGTAATCTACTTTCCATTCTCTTCCCTTTTCTCTCTCCTTTTCCTCTCTATTTCTAATATCTACTCCTTTATTGTTTTCTTTCTCTATTTTAATCTTTTATCTCATACCCCATCTAATCAAATATGAGATAAAAGAAATAACCACATATATTTAAAGATGGAGAAAGAGAAGTAAAAAAAAAAAAAAATGTTGAGTGTATAGAGTGTGTATTCTGTGGATAAAATTAGGTTGCAGTGTATTGATTATGCAATTTTGTGGTATGATGTGTAATATGGTGATGGTTGCGATAGTGTAATATATCATGTTGTCAAGTAGGAGATGTTGTTCTATCATATCCGCGATTTTCAGATTCTGCGCAGTGATAGTTTCCTCCATTTCTTGCAGCTTGGTAGCTAAGCCGTTATGGGCTCCTGCAAAGTCATCCAGCCTGTTCTCCATGTGAGAGGTTCTTTGGCCTATGTCGTGAATCTCCTTGCGGAGGTCTGCAGATAGGCCGTGTAATTGGGCCGTGATGTTAAACTGCCTAGTAGCCATGAATTCTGCTAGGATGCCTCGCATTTTGGATTCCGTTACCGGGTTGTCCTCTTGAGGTAGCTCAAGGGAGGCCGTCGTCGATATGGAGCCTTCCTGCTAGTGGGTCTCGCCGCCATCTTGGATCATGCCTGGGCCTACACGGCACTTTGGTGTTGCGGCTTTCGCCAAGAAGAAGGATGCCTTATCTGCTCTTGCTTGCTTTATTTTTTGTCTCTGAGACATATCTGTACCAGGGGCTTGGTAGTAATAGGGCGGTAAAAGATAGTGGTCGTGAAGTGTTGGTAGTCCATTGGTAAAATTCTTGTTGAATTTTCCACACTTGGATTGTAGAATCTCACTGTGTATATCGCTGCGTGCTCCCTTCGATGCCTACGCCTCAACCCGCTGGCGTGGCTCCATTAGCTCCTCCTCTTGGCGTGTGTACGCTCTCGTATTCACGTCATCCCCCCAACTGCCATCACATTTTATGTTTCCATCCAGAATCAAAACTATAGCAAACAATTTTAAATTGTATTTAACATTTTTACTTTAAAAAATTATATTAATCATAAATGTCTAATGATCATTAATAATTTTTTATACCTCCAAAAAGAGAACTTTTCATTGTACGTCCAGTCAAAAAGATCATTGGATCAATGGTTATAGTTTTGGTAGATGGAGCTACTCCAACAATTACTGTAGTTCCAAAGGCAAAGTGACTTGCATTTATTGCTGAAACCTGGTGGAAAAAAATATAAAGTAAGGATTTCAATACATATTTTCTGAATCTGATGCACAATTCACCATGTGGAGGAATGTTCCCCGAACATAGATTTGAGGGAGCCCCTGCTCTGATGCGTTTGTCTATGTTTGGGGAAATTTCCCTGAACATAGATTAGACGGATTCCCTGCTCTGATGCATTTTACGACTTAATTAATTTGATGCATTTGTCAATGTTCGTGGAAGTTTCCCTAAATATAGACAAGCGCACCAGAGCAGGGAATCCTTCTAATCTATGTTCGGGGAAAATTCCCCGATCACAGACCAGTTCTCTAATGTGGGGAATCTCTCAAATCCCCAGGCTAGAGAGCTGGTCGTAAGTCTGAGCCGTAGTTAGACAGGTAAGTCGGAAAATGAGGACTACCTGTATTAGTTATATTGTAATCATTACAGTATATTATAATGATGGTGTGCTGCGGAATATGCGCTTTATAAATACCAGTAATAAATAAATAAAATTGCGCCGTTAAATAGATTTATAGAAAAGTATTTTCAGTGACTTGTGAAGTTCTTTGAGGTGTTGAATTTGCAAAATGTTCAATGGATTTGTTAACATGTTGTCAACAACTCATCTTTTGACGGGTAGTTATTGATTCTGAAGCGACACTGTTGTAGTCCCCCATCCTTCCTCCACCCCCATCCCTGGACCACTTTGTCTCTGGATTTCTCCTCTGCTTGACTTTCTAAGTGTTAATCTAAGTGTTAATCGTCAGAGTCATCAGCAGCAGCTGTGAATTGGCTGTGTCTATGGGATCCTCCATTGACTTCAATGCTGTATTCGCTCATATAAAGATGATGGTGCCCACAAGGGACAAGTTCAGGTAAGTAGGGCTTACCTTTTCTGCCCCTCTGGCTAACGGACCCCCAGCAGTGATGTCACCATCGGGGGTCTTTGTGAATTCTGCAAAGTCCCCAGTCAGTGACAGTGCTGCGTTAAACTTTAGTATTAAATATAAGGTATATGTATCTTTTCCACTGAACCAATAATGGTAAAAGTGTAATTTGTTCACAATTAAGTTTGGTCCACATACCATAGTTTCTGTGTTTCCAATGCATTCAAATACATAGTCTAAACCACCACCAGTCTGCTCTATAAGAACTTGCTGGATAGGTTTGTCATAATCTTTGGGGTTGATGCACTCAGTTGCTCCTAATTCTTTAGCCTTGACAAACTTGTCCTTGTTGATATCCACTCCAATGATACGGGACGCACCAGCTGCTTTACAGCCCATGACAGTAGCAAGTCCAACACCACCCAAACCAAACACAGCACATGTAGACCCTGGATGTACCTGCACAAAAAGAAAAAACAAATGAGCTACAGTGAATATTACTAAATTATTTAATGCCTAATAAAGTTGTTTTCAAATGAAATATTATTACCATCAAACATAACTAATAAAAAAAATTAATAGTATTGGCACCAAAACAGGTTTAGCTTAATGAAGCAGTTATGGTGTATAGATTTTGCTCCTGGAGTCTTTGAAGCTCAATTTTCTATCATTTAGGTGCTACATTGCTTTCTTTAAGCAACTCTAGCTACACCTCTCTGCATGTGACTTACAGTCTCCAACACTTCCTGTAAAGAGAGATTTAATGTTTAAACTTTCTGTTTTGCACAGTCTGTTCAGTTTAGCATTACCCTGTTCTGTTAATAGTCTGCCAGAGCCTCCAGTGTGTGATTAAAAGTTAGTTTACAGAGTTAAGAGTAAAGTAAGATCTGATAAAAAATTAAACCATTTTTGTTTTCATGGAGGCTGTGTCAATCAGAGGCAGGGAGGTGTGGCTAGGGCTGCATGGACAAGAGCAACAATGATTTAACTCTTAAATTAGATTGCACTTGCACATATACACCCAAATTGCTTCATTAAGATAAAGTTGTTTTGATGCCAAGAATACCTATTTACATTTTGTCAATTGGGTCTTTATAAACAAATTATTCCTTGTGGATGACTTTAGGTACACATTAGATACATTTTATGTAGTGCCACCTTGGCGGATCATGATTTGGGATTTGTGCAAGCTTTTGGATTTTAAGTTCTACGGACCACTGGCTGGTTATTTTTTTTTTGCATAAGTTGCTAGATGAGAATGAATTAGTGACTTATGAAATTCTAATGGTAAGACTGAGAAGATGCCGTCTTAAAGTGTCTCCATTCAGCACACCATCAAATTGAGGTAGATTTTACCATAACCAAAGTAATATGGAAAAACACTTACATATTCATTTGGCAATTCATTCACCTGTGATATTTTATCCAACATATGTATTTGCTATTTCTTTTTCTATAGGTCTTATTCAATTATTAATTTTAGTTTTGTAACCTTGCATGGAGGGGGTCATGCTGATCTCTGATGGTCCAATATGCTAGGAATCTGAGCTCTGTCTCTAAGTGTGATATTTGTTATGGATGTATTGACTGTGTGTGATGTGTGTATTGACTGTGTGTGATATTTGTGATGGGTCTTTAATTTCAGATTAAAAAAAAACCAAAAAACGCATGTAGGCCCATGTGTGAATGCAAGTATGTATTTTTGCAGTGTCACATGCACACAGTCCCACAGTACGACACACAGTCAGATGTACAAAGTTACATGAATATACTGTCAAATACAGCTACATACACAGTCTGAGGCACATAGTGACTCCCACACAGTCACATACACAGCTACAGGCAGCCACATACAGTCACATGTAGCCAGGCACACACACAATTACAGGCAGACAGTTACACACAGTTACAGGCAGATAATCACACACACAGTGACAGACAGTTACACATACACAGTTACAGCAGACAGTCGCACACGCACACACACACATAGTTGCAGGCAGACAGTCATACATACACACACGGTTGCAGACAGATAGTCGCAGACAGTCGCACACACAATTACAGGCAGACAGTCACACACATACACAGTTACAGGTAGACAGTATATACATGTACATATACATGTAGGGAATAGAATACCTTGGCTGTGTTTATAGCAGAACCATAACCAGTAGAGAAACCACATCCAATAAGACAGACATTATCCAGTGGTGCGTTGTCATCAATTTTTGCAGCTGCAATTTCATCAATAACAGAATATTCAGCAAATGTGCTGGTATTTGCAAAATGATAGAGCTGCTTTCCTTTGCAGGTAAATCTGCTAGTGCCATCAGCCATCAATCCTCTGGGTCTACCTGTGGTGCTATGAGATACATAGGTATGTTGTAAGTTAAATGATAATCAAAAAAAAATTTGTTTTGATTAACTTAAATAAAAATGTAATATGAACATAGACGTATGGGACAAACACCTCCCTTCCTTAGTCACAAATTATTATACCCCACCATGGGACAGAAGAGATTAAAGATTATACTTCTAACATTGGTCAGGTGGGAACAGTCATATTGATACAATCATCCACTACAAGTGA